TTCTTACCCTTCCCTTCCCTTCTCTGCTTCCCTCTCCATCTCTTGGTCCCCTTCTTTTTTGCAAAAGTTCTATCTCCCTTCTTCCTATTATCTATCTTTTATTTTGCCTTTATTTTAGCATCATCATTCTCAGAGCAAATATTTATACTTTCAATGAATTCCAATCTATCAATTTTTTCTTTTATGGGTTATGCTCAGAACTCATCACCTAAGCCCAGGTGACAAAGATATTATCGAGCATTTTCTGGTGAGCATCTGCTGGATGCTATCTTCAGTTTTAAGGAAAAGTAGTTTTGAACCAAGAACTATATATCCTGCCAAGTTGTTACTGTATGAAACAACTGAAGATATTCTCAGATACCCAGAGGTTAAAAAAGTATACCAACCAAGAACCTTCTGAACTGAAAAATTTTCTCAATGATTTACAGCAGCCAATAGGGAACATGAATTAAAAATAACCCAAGGCTGGGTGTGGTCGCACATGCCTGTAAATCCAGAACTTGGGAGGCTGAGGCAGGAGGATCATCACAAGTTCAAAGCTAGGTTGGCTACACAGTGAATTCAGGAACACCCTGAAATACATACACAGTGAGACCCTGTCTCAAAATAGCAACAAAACAAATAAGTCCCTAAAGACCAGGGAGGCAACTGTATGAAAGATATGATGGTAAGTGTTAAGTCAGTAAGAAGCACGAAGTCTAATTGTTTTATTAATGCCATGTACTATTACAGAGAAAGGTGTACTCTATTATGCTAAATACACGTAAAGTAAGTGCTTTGTCACTGTGGACAGGACAAGTAAAGACATTATAAATGTTAATCTAACAAAATTGAAACATGGTACAGATTTATTTCCCTTGTTTAATTACAGAAGAAAAAAGACAGCAAATCTTTCCATAATGTTAATTACAATTTAAAAAGAAAATTTCCAAAGCACTAGTTGGAGAGTGGTAGAAAAAAACCGTTTGATATACTGAATTAGAAATGATAGTTACTATAGTAGTTCATATAAATCAATATGTCATTGAGTTGTCATAGACAAAAACAGAATTTATACATTCCAAGTTTTGAGAATTGAAAAGAAGTGAAAAACCAAGAAAAAGTAGAAAAAGAAAAACAGTGTAGTATTACAGTTAGCACAAGAGACTGATAGAGGTAGAGATGAGTTGTACTGGAAAATTAATAAGATCTATATTGATCCAAAACATCTCTGATCCAAGATATTCATATTTGTACAAAACAAAGGAAAAAGGGGTTTCAAGATAATAAAAACTCTTTAGGTCATAGAAGTAGCAAATTTTTATTAGGCAGAAATAAGGATATTATAAGATTTCAGTATTCTTCCTATAGATTTTCCATATTTTTTTCAACAATTTTTGATTAGCAGTAAGTGGAAGTGAACATAAAGTTATATGACATACGAAAAGATACAGGATCTATTCTAAAAGAGGTACTATTTTAAGGAGGTATTCTGCAATCTGCTCTAAAATAAACAGGGGACCTTTGTTTTGGATTAATTTTCAGTATCATCAAACTCCCATATTTTTAATAGAAAATGGGAATCTGGTTTGTTTCAACTTAGTCCTTTAAAATTTACCTCCATTAAATGCATTTTTTTACTTTACACAGTGGTGATATGACTTAATCAATGAAAGTTTAGAAAAATTCACATACTACATAATTTGCATATGATTTTAATAGACTTAGATTCATACTGGCCAAAAACTCCCACCATAAAAGATGCCTGGGTTAGAATGAATGTATTCTTCTAAGGTACCTATTATGTCTCCTACTATTTATAGTAAACTTGTTGATAGTTCCACAGGAACAATTACACATTAAACTTTCTTCATATGGGGGTACTGTGCGTGTGTGTGTGGCACTAGGGCTTTCCCACTGAGCTATATCTTCAGCCCTTTTCTCTTTTATGTTGGGCAAGAGTGTTGCTAAGCTGCTAAATTGCCCAGGCTGTGTGGGAACTTGTGAGCCTCCTAACTCAGCCTCTCAAAATGCTGGGTGCCAAAACATCTGGGTGAAGCAACTTAGTTTTCTAAAACTACCTTTCAGAGGGCTAGAAGTAAAGCTCAATGATAGCAAGTACAAGGATCTGGGTTTGATCCCAAGCATAAGGAAAAAAGAAATTATAAAATAGTATAGCATAACTTAGGACATATACTAACTACTAAGAGAATACTCTTAGAAGAAACTTTTTCCTACATACATTCACACATGTACAGAGAAATTAAAAAGTTACACTTATCCTTTTTAGTACTGAGAATTTGCATAACAATCATTCTGAATGGTTTCCTTCATAAGACAAAACACATTTTATACTTGAGAAAGCATCAGCCAGTTACTCTAAATTTCAAACAGTTTATGTTAATTTCTAAATATTTTAAGTTTCAAAATATACAGAGGAATCATCTCAAACTTGACAAATCTAAGGAATTACTCCACTCTTGGAAACTAACTAGGAAAAGGAAAACCACTCTTACAAATAATTATGTCTGTTTTGAAACATACAAATTAAAAAAAAAAAAGCATCATCTTCTAGTTATATAGCATCTTATGAAAAGGTGGAAATTCTATTAGAACAATGATTCTGATAGCCCATTTTTTTTCAACTTCTGGAATAGTAAGTTGGAAAAAGATCTTGATGCTTAGCTAGGCCAAACCCTACATCAACATGAGGCTCACAGGGTGTAGTACCACATGCCTGTAGTCCCAGCTATCAAGGAGGCTGAGATAGGAAGATCACTAAGCCCAGGAGTTTGAGATTAGTCTGGGCAGCATAATGAGGCACTGTTTCAGAAAGTAAAAATAAAAATAGGGCTCAGAAAAAAGAAGCATAGTGATACCTTGGTTGTCAAACTCAATTCATTCCAAATTTTTGTTTCAACGTGGAAAAGTTTGAGAAAAGAACATATTTTTCCCACAAGGAACAACAGAAAACAAAATAATTGGTTCTGGGGCTCCAAAATTATACTTACAAATTCATTTTTCCAGGACTTTAACAAATTTTGCAATGATTTATCTTTATTATTTATTTATTTGGTTTTTTTGAGACAGAGTCTCACTATGTAGTTGAGACTGACCTGGAACTCACTATGTAGCCCAGGCTGGTCTCAAACTCACAGCAATCCTCCTGCCTCAGCCTCCCCAGTGCTGGGATTACAGGCATGTGCCACCACGCCCAGCTTCAATGATTTATTTCTTTAACTATCACGGTTCTGTTTTCCTTTTACCTCCACTGCTAGTATCACTAAATCTCTTTGGACCCATGGTTATATTTTACATAAATTAAGTGCAAAAAAAAAGCACAATGACAAAAGTTTTAATGCACTAACACAGGCACTGTATGTTGTGTGAGCAAGCGTAGTATTTAGACCAAAACAGACTTAGACTTTGTGTCTGCAGTGAGATTTGAGGTGTGATTTACTTGACTTGTATAGATTTTTTTCAAATTGGATATTCAGTTTGACTTTTGCATATGTGCTGCTGAAGCAAGCACTCAGTTTGACTTTTGAGTATTGAGCAAAGTTACAAAAATCTAGGGGATTTTTTTTTCCAAGCTCCATTGTTCCAGTAGTGGGAAGGTCAAGCTTAGAGCAGTTTGACAGTGAGGTATCACTGTAATTCATTTAAGACCACAAAATTACTATGAGGCTGATGAGGAAGTACCTGTACAGGTTTTCTGACTCTATATCTAGAATCTTGATTTCTAAAAGATATCATGCAATATTGTGGTTGGTTAGTTATATAGTTTAGTTGTCCCTTGATATAGGTGAGGAATTGATTCTAACAGACCTCTCAAATACTAAAATTTGTGGATGCTCAAGTCCCTGGTATAAAAGACACATTATTGGTATATAACCTATGCACATCCTCCCATCTTAGATTTGTAATACCTAAATAATCTAAATAGTTCTTTTGCTACACCTTATAGGGAATAATGACCAAAAAAGGTGTGCACATGTTTAGTACTGAAGCTGAAATTTTTTCTGAAGCTGGATTTCAACCTGCAGTTGGTTAAACCTACAGATGTAAAATACACAGATATAGTGGGCATCCTAGTTTGGAATCCTATTCCTCTCTGTACTCCTAGGGCTTTGTGAACCTAATATTTTGAGAGAGCAGCAAACTATTCTGCATGGTATTATCTGTACTCAAGGTCCCCTTTAATGTTTTAAAAATCTCCTCTTCAGCCGGGCGTGGTGGCGCACGCCTGTAATCCCAGCACTCGGGAGGCTGAGGCAGGAGGATCCTGTGAGTTGGAGACCAGCCTAGGCTATATAGTGAGTTCCAGGTCAGTCTCAAAAAAACAAAACAAAACAAAACAAAAAATCTCCTCCTCCACTCAACTTTTAAATGAACTATTGTTTAGAATTCCAATGTAGAAAGGATAAGAAAAACTACATTGCTTTTAACAGTGCAGCGCTTCTTCTAGGACTCATTACTTTGTCCCTAAAGCTTCTGAACTACTTTGACAGCATCTCAGGTCTCCAAGGAACAGTTTTTATTTCTGCTGTTGGGAGTGTTCTAGCTTCTCAAACAATTAACATCACTAGAGGGCCTGTTAGAAATACAGAGCTCCAAGCCAGGCCTATTAAATTGAGTCATATTAAGATGCCTAGGTGATTTGTTATACATACTGACATTTGAAGAGGATATTCTCAAAGAATATCAAGAAAATACATACATTGCAATTTTTATTTATTTGTTTGTTTATTTTGTTACCGGGGCTCAGGACCTTCCTTACCTTTGGGAGTCAGGCGGGGGCACCACTGTGCTAAATCCCTGGCCCATGTACCCATTTTTAATAGTCATATGACTTGCAAGTACCAAACTTAGCTTGTCATTCAGGGAGTTTAAAATTCACATTTTGTGTAGGAATGCTCTACAGCAAATCTAACTTTAAAGGATGCTCCCGACCGGGGCTGGGGGTGGTGGTGGGGGGACAGGACACAACAAAACCCTGACATACTAATTTAGAAACATACCTCTTATCAAAAAATGTTGAATTCTCTTTCCTCTTAGTAAATCCATTGGGTAGAAGTTTTAAATTAATACCTTGCCTTCGGGCACGATTTTTCATAAAGTACATCTAATAAAACAAAATAGATAAATTAATCTTAAAATGCTTTACAATTCAGAAACAAGTAGAACTGTGTTGAATAATAGTTAAGATTTACAGTACCAAATATTTATGTTTCACAAACAACTCAAGGCAAAATTTCATTCAATATTTACAAAAATACTGCGAGATATGTATAGTCATACCCATTTTAGCAACAAGAATTAATGCAGTTCCATCATCATATAGCTATTTGTGAAAGACACATCCTATATTAAAATGCAGGTCCATCAATTCCATAGCCTGTGCTTTTAACTGTCTGGTTTGTAAGACAAAGGGAAGAATATCAGAGATATTTCTCTTTTTGGGGGCATGCTAGGGATTAAACTCAAGGCCTTGTAAATGTTAGTTAAATGTTCTATGACTAAGTTACTATATATCCTTCACCCTATAGCTTTTCTTCTTACATTTGTGGGTTTTATACCATAGTTAGCCATATACTGCCTGATTTTATTACTAGACAGATAGCTTACTCAAGGGAGGAACCACAGCATGTCCTGGTACAAAACCTAATTAAAGAAGCCACTGCTGTGGGCATTACAAAATTGGATATGAAAAACATCTGGCTCTATTATGTACTACTCCACTAACCACCACTGAATCTCAATTTAAAAAGGGGTAAACTTGTAGGATACATAAGAGAAATTTATATTCTTGAATGTATATATTAAGAACTATATATTAAGATTAAAGAAGTACAGTATATATATATTAAGATTCAACAATAACCTAATCATGTATCTTGAGGATTTTTAGAAAAAGAATATCAAAATAAACTAGAACAAAAACAACAAAAGTGAAAAGGACAAAATAGAAAGGAAACATGAAACAATTGAATTAGAAAAAAACAGAAGACACAAACAATATCATAAGTGAAATTACAACTACTGAAGATATGTAAAAGAGTGTTATGAAGAACTTTCAACAAATCTGAAAATTTCAATCAAATGCACAGATTTTTTACAAAAAATTAAACCTATCAATGACTCAAGAGACACATAGAACCTGAACAGTCCTGTAAACAGGAAAAAATGTACCTCGGTGGAACAAATTGCATGGCCACACTGGTTCAATGATAAATTTTTACAAACTCCCAAGGAAAAAAATTTCAGTATTAGCCAATGTGTCCAAAACAAAACAGAAACCATCCCAACTTTAAGAAACTGAAGTCCTGTTGATACAGCACCCTAAGGACATCAAAAAGGAAAGATCAATTCTATTCATGAACAGAAATAGAAAACAAATGGATTGATAATGTATGCACATGTGTAATACAACTGAATTCTGTAAAGTATAAAAAGCACAATAGATTATAATAGCAGCCCATGCAAACTTAGCCTAAAATATAAGATGAATTAGGATTACTCATTCTTTCAGAGTATGATGGGTTAAAAGGAAAAAAGTGAATATTAAAAAGGTAGCTGATAAAATATAACCCCCATTCATTATAAAATTTATTATCAAACCAAGATTAGAATTTCCTTAATCTAATAAATTAGGTCTAAGAAAAAGAATTCACGCAAGTTTGCCTTCTAACATCAAGGAACAAGTTGAAAACGTTCAGAAGAGTTAACATAGCCTGAAACTAAATACTAAACATTTCTAAACACTGACATAAACCTTTTCCTAAAATCGTGTGGCTCATCACTGTATCTACATTTTTTATTCAATCAATGTGGCTTTTGTTAAACCTGGCTTTCATTCTGGGACTGGGAAATTTGTGATCAGTCCCTTGGTCACTGAATTTCCAATGAGCCCTTCCAGTAGAAAGTACCTCACCAGTGTTATTGCAACTTATTATTTTCTTTATTATCTAATTGAGTTTATTGGTACTTTTTAAGTATACAGTACAGTTACATTCATCATTGGGATCTTATACTTTTACATACAGATCTTGGTTCTCATTTTTTCCCCATACCTCTGCCCTCCCTTTACCCCCTCCACCCTCCCCTATTTACAAAGACTTTGTTTCCAGTTTTTCCTTTTCTCATATTTTTCCTTGTCTCTTATTTCCTTTCCCCTACTCTTGCAACTTACTAACAGAAGAATTAATCATACTGTGTGTGACTCCAATGGAAGAGAACTATTAGAAACTTGTGACCTGTTTTCTCCAGATTTTGTCTCAGACATTTTCCCTTTCCTAATTTTGTTCTATATCCTTTCATGTTAAATTTCAGCTGTGAGTACAATTGTACGATGTGAATCTTTCTAGAGAATCTTCAAACCAGAGGTGCTCTTGGGAATTTTCAACATAGGTATCTTCTATTAACACTACTACTTGATATTGAAACAGAGGTCTTTGTTATTTCAATAAGCCAAGAAGAAGAGAAAAAAATAAAGATTTGGAAGAAACAAACTGGGGATTGTGTGAGTCTATAGATAAGGTACCGGGATAAATTTTAATATGGTTGGTTACTATAAAATAACAACAACAAAAAACTCATTTCCATGTGGAACGAAGAAAAAGAATTAAAAATCAAATGCTAAGCTGGGCGTGGTGGTGCACACCTAGAATCCCAGCAATGGGGAGGCTGAGGCAGGAGGACAGCTGTGAGTTCAAGACCAGCCTGGGCTACACAGTGAGTTCCAGGGCAGTCTCAACTACATAGTGAGACCCTGTCTCAAAAAAAAAAAAAAAAAAAAAAAAAAACTTGTTAA